GGCCGGCCTTGGGCTTCAAGTTTTAGTTTTGTATAATTGTAAATATAAGTATTCTGACTAAATATACAGAGACTGGTGAAATTCAAGGTCATAATTTTCCTGTGCTTTGTGGATTATAATTTATCCCTGATAAACCCTTCTGCTGAGTAGTTTGTAGTCCCTTGAAGGAGCATTATTTGAAAGGGTGTGTCTTAAGTTGAGATTGTCCTCTTCATGCAAACATAGCCATGTCTCCTGTGGGTTACTGTGACCAATGCCTTCTCCATTCAAACTGCCCTCTCCTCAGTTGCCTGAAGAGCTTAGTATCAGCTTATGTGCCTGCCAAGCTGACCTTTAGTTATTTTATTTCCAGCATTCCCTTTTCTTGAGAAAGTACTTAACATTTAGTCATTAAAGGTATTTTATGTCACATCTTCAGACAGAGAGGTTCTTAGGCTGACATTTAGGCTGTATTAGTTTCCTGCGGCTGTTGTAACAAAGTGCCACAAACTTGTGGGCTTAAAACAACAGAGATTTGTCCTTTTATAATTCTTAAAGGCCAGAAATCTGAAATCAAGTTGTTGCCAGGGCCTTGTTCTCTCTGAAGGCTCTAGGGGATAATCTGATCCATGCCTCTTCCTACTTCTGGTGTTGTCTGCAATCTTTGGGGTTCCTTGGCTTGTACGTGTATCACTCCAGTCTCCTTCCATCATCATGTGGTGTTCTCTCCATTTGTCTGTGTCTTTCTCTTCTTTTCTCAGGAGGATGTCAGCCATATTGGGTGTAGGGCCCACCCTACTATAGTACGACCTCATCTTAACTTGATTACATCTGAAAAGATCCTGTTTCTAAATATGGTCATGTGCACAGGTACCAGGAGTTAGGTACCTGAACATACTTTTGAGGGAAATACAATTCAGTCCGTAACAGATAACTAGTACTTCAAATCCATTACACTATTTAGGATAGGAAGTAAATTCATATTTTCAATGTCCAAAACATTTAAAAGTTATTTATTCTGTATAAAGTCTCCTTCCTATCCGTATTTTCCTAGTGATCTAGTTTCCTTTTGCAGAGGCATCCAGTATTAACAGACTCTTGTATATCTTTGTAGGGACACTTTATACATGTGTAAGAAATACATATATATTCATAACCCAATTTTTCTCAAGTTCTAATGAGAACAAATGATTAAAAATCAGTTGGGAAAGAAGGCACATTTTATTCCTTAAGGTTTCTCACTACAAACAAAACCCTGTGAAATGGCCTGGGTGAAGAGTGGTCAGAGCCTTGCATTCTTGGTACATCCAGCAACAGTGTACAGGGACACTTGGGGCCCGTGGTGGTTTACATCTCTCAGACAGACGGGATTCATGCCATTAATCAACTAGTTGTGGCTGATGTCTGTTGTCTGGACATTGACAAGACTCCACTAGCACCTGGTGGCAGCTTATCCATTGCCAGCAAAATGCCTAAGAGATTAACTTATTTTGAATATTACTTTAAATATTCAATAATGATTAGTTTCTAAATCTGTTTTAATATACTAGTAAAATTCACTCTTACATACATAATACTAACCTGTGACTAACTGTAAATATCACTAGGTTCCTATGTAAATCAGTCACAATGTCAAATTCTGTAAAGTTTTGTGTCTGTATTACCACCACCTTGTTTTATGTAACAAGTAATATATAGCTAATACATAAAAAAGTAGAGGATCCTAATAAGACAAAGTAATATTGTCTGTTGCATAGTAATAAAAACATTGATTAAAAATATTGTTGATAGGAAACATCTGAGTATTCTGTTAATTCCTATGTGGTTAGACACCAGAAACACCTTGGATATAAATTTAGTTTTTAATAGATAAACGTATATTTAAATTAGCCATGTGGTAGTTGGTGTGTATTTTCTTTTTCAATCTTTAAGACACCAAAGAGTACCTTTGTGTTCAAAGAAAAAAATGCTTCTTTTCTAGTCTATCAAAAAATGAGAATTTTATTAAAGAAAAATCTCATTTCTGCCTATGTCCTTCGTATAGTTACTTTATATTTTTGGCTTCCAAATTTAGGAATTAGTGATTATTGAATATTTAAAGTAAGATTTTTTAAAGGCCCAGTCAACATTTAGAAGTTTATAGCTAACAATTCAACTAATTTAAGCCTGTTATAGTTCATCTTGACTTTATTTCTAATAATTAACTCATCAGCTTTGAATTTCCTGATTATAGAATAAAAGAGAACAGTAATGCTAGGCATAGACCTTCATGGCGTCTTACTTTTTTATTTCTTTGTAATCGATACTGTTTCTTCCTTTGGAGAAAACAAAACGAAATATAACAAAAACCAAGCAAGATTGCCATGTGTGTTTTCATTAATGGGGATATGGTAGAAATGGTGTTGCTGAACATCTCTCTTCAGGCTGGGTGAAAATAGGAAGGGGCTGATTCTCTTTGTGTGGTAGGTGAGGATAAGATGAAAACACAGTAGTGGTAATTTTTTTGGATGATAGAAGACAGTGGTAAGGTGGTGTTAATTTCGCAGAGATTCCTGACACTTGCTGAGTCTTCTTTCGAGTCTTATATCACTAGGGTTTGGGGAGGTCTAAGATGATGAGGGTCCAGATTTGCTCCCCTGCTTTTATCTTCCATATGGCTGGGGTTGATTACATCCGCCCTGTTGGAATTAGAGTGTCTGAGGACACGAAATAGCTATTCTTTATTTCAGAGGTAAAAAAAAAATCTGTTGGTATCATAGTGTCTCTCACACTGTTTTTAGGAAGTTTATATCTTTTTTTTGTCAGTTTATTTTTATTTATTTATTTTTTTGAGGAGTCTCCCTGCCTTTTATTTATTTTTTCTTTCTTTCTTTCTTATCTCTGTACTGTGACAAACAACGTATTTTTCTTAAAGATTTTGGATTTCCATTTCCTACTGTTGTGGAATTGTTAGGCATGGTAGCAAATAGTATTCATGTTGTCTTTAATAGTTTATGAGCCACATAAAAACATTAGGGTTGTATTATAGGCTACTAAACTCTATTTATGAATTTCTTGTCATTCTTCTTTAACCAAAATTATATTGAGATGACAGCAGTCTTGCTTGTGTAGTTAGTATCCAGCCTTGCACATTTAGTTTTCCTTTTTTTCAGTTCTCTGTCTCCCTTGGTATTGTCATCAGCAAGAGGATGGATGGTCCTGGTATCTCATTTGACCCTTGCCCTCTATTTAGAACAGAAAATTAGAATGCTTTTGAGACCCAAACTATCTCATTTATCTATCTATCTATCTATCTATCTATCTATCTATCTATCTATCTATCTATCTATCTA